AGACTGCAGAGTCCTGGCCTGATGAGGTAGCTCTTCTGTGCTGTGACATCCGTTTCGCCAGAGGTTGTTTGGTTTCTCCGATGTATAAATCCTGGCAATCCTCCAACCAGATCAAAGCTCCAGGTCAAGCTTTGTTCAGAGAATTTGCATATTAATGATCAAGGAACTGACCCAGCCCATTGTTCCCTCAGTGGGCTGGTTTCAGTCATTATGCAAATGTACTGTTTATAAGATTGAAACCTGCAGTCAGCTGAGACTGAGGACGTCACTTAAATCAGTGACGAAGTGTTTCTCCCACTGAAAACGCTACGTCCAGATGAACAGAATTAACTTTTTGGGATTTACTTACCTGGATGATTGAGCACGCATCAAGACGTCGACAGTGCTAGATTTGTGAATCTGTGAAGATTGTGGCATCAGCGTCTACTACTCTGCATACTTACGTGGTTCCACGGTCTTTGCCTCGCCTTGCCAATAAGTGGAGTTTCCATGCATGACCCTCAGGTGGTACTGAGCTCCTGGTTGGAGGCCCGTCAGCATATAGAAACCCTGCGTAGTGTTGACCTGCTCTGAGTTCTCCCACCCACCGCCTCCTGCAGCCACACGGCAGAGATGAATGAAACATATGATGAAACAATCCTAAAGCTGTTCCTCCTCTCATTTAATGAACTGTCTCATCTGATTCTTCTGCCCTTTCTAATAATTCTGCTGTGATGTTGATCCAGAGACAAAACAGTGTGAAAATTCATATTCAAATCACTGGAAACATCAGAGAGTGGTGACAGTTTAATCTACTTGTCATCATCATAACAAGCTGGGAGCTGTTTACTTGTTCTTGGTTCACTGCAGGTTCTTCAGGTCGTCTCACTTTGGACTGAACCATTAATCAGGCTGTCATGTTCTCAGACCGAAGTATAACTTCGAGAGAAAAAAGCCTTAAAAGTTTATTTTTTGGACATTTGAGAGTTTTTTCAGATCTGACTGTTGAGCCTCTGCATGCTGTTCTTCAACACTGAAGTTTAAACCTCTGTTCGATCATTTAGAGTCAGGAGCTTCAAAATAATTGGTCGAATCACTGCCGGGAACTGTTATCAAGATTGGCTGTGCAGACTTTGAGAAGGACTCAGACATGTTTTCCTTCCTTACTCTCCAGCTCCTTTACTCCTCTTTCTAAGAGTCATTGTCCACACATACTCACAGACCCCCCCAAACTTCCTCTCCCTGCAAGCCGTCCTGTCCTTACCGCTCTTCTTGAGGTATTGGATCTGGAAGCCGTGGTTTCGGTTTCTCTCTCCGGGCACCCAGCTCAGGTTGACTGATGCGTTACCAGAGGTTACTGTGATGTTTCTCGGAGGCTCTAGAAGGCAGGGGGGGGTGGGGGTGGGGAGAAAACAAGGTCAATTTGAGAATTTGGTTTTATTTCACTCAATAAAGCCGAACACTAAACGGTGTGAGGCAGAATTCTGAAGTTTCACCTCCATCAAGCAGAGTGGCTCCCCTGCGTGTGATGGGAGGGCCTTGTCCAATCTTTGTGCATGCTGTTACTTTGAAGATGTAATGGCTGTCGGGATCCAGGTTGTCCAGCGTGATGTGCTTTACTGTGGGGTCATTGACATTCAGTATCTCCACAGGACTGTTTTTGCTTTCCACCTCTACAGAAGAAACACAAACCAGGCAGAAAAACATGACTAAGAACGCTTGGCGGCCAAACGCAAAGACCATGAGAAAAGTCACAATCGTTAAACTTCATCTTATTTTCATGACGCAGCCGGGATCAGACCTTACCCCGTTGGTACTGCACTATGTATCCCAGCAGAATGCCGTTGGTCTCAGCTGGAGGGCTCCAGGAGAGGATCAGGGATTTTTCTGTCGGGCTTTCAAACTCCAGAGATGCAGGAGGACCAGGAACTGCACACACAGAACAGTTCCAGATGAGGTTTGTGTAACGTGAGAACTGATCCTGAACTCTTAGACATGAGGGAAGAAAGTTCGGTTGACTTTTTTCTGTCTGAATGTCAGAGTCTGCTCTGATATGAATGTCGTGTCGTAAGCTTTGGGTCAGGTGCAGAGGTTGCAATGGGCTGGAACAAGAGCAGAATTCTGATACCTTCAAATAATTGGTAATTAAATCAGCTAACTTACTACACAATGCTGCTCAGATCAGCTGACCTTTGACTTGAGGAACCTGTCAAATCGCACTTCGATCCGTGGTCACATGACCCTCAAACAGCAGCGTTTGGTTGAAACTCACCTCCCTCCGGCGTGTGGAAGTGGTGTGGCGGGGAGCGAGGACTCTCCCCTTTGCTGTTAAATGCAGTGACCGTCAGCTCGTACTCAGAAAACAGTCGCAGTCCCGTCACCTCCGCTGAGGTCTTGCTATGGTCAACCTCCTCCACCTGCCAGCTGTGCTCGTCTGTCTCACTCAATGGTTTTGATCTTTCTCCTCTCTCCTCCTCGTGTTGGGATTGTCTGAGAGACCTCCGGCTCCGTTCGGCCTTGGGCCCCAGCCTCTTATAGTAGATCTGAAACAAGCACAGAGAAACATGAACACACTTTATGTGCTTTGATAAAGTTACAGCTGAAAATGAAATTAAAAAATTCAGAACACGATAAAAACTTTTATCAGCCTGTGTTTTCCTCCATTATTCTACTAATCAAAGATGCCACTCGGGACTATTTTCTGGGGTTTGATTGACAGAAAGATTATAAAGTTTCTCAGTATTAAAGATGGGCAGAAGCTCAAAGCCAAACATCGCACCAAGTAATGAACAGAGGATTTAAATGTTAAGAGCATTTCAGAGATGTGAGTCAGGTAATCAAACTCAATGAGAAGTGCTACCCTGTATCCCAGCAGCCGGCCTCGGACCCTCTGGGCTTTGTTCCAGCTCACTCTGATGGTGCTGTTCATCACGGTGGTTGAAACTCCAGTCGGCGCTTCCTCTGGCTCTGAGAGAAGCAGCGAGGCATGAACATAAGAAATCAGCACAGCAGCAATGTTATTTGCACAAACTCGCAGTTTATGACTGTGTGTGTGAATGTGTATTCATATCTTTGTGGGGACCAAAAGTTGGAAGTTTACTATACTTGTGGGGACCAACAGCCTTCATGGGGACCAAAATTCTGGTCCTCACAAGTCTGAAGGCATTTTTAAAACTAAAAAAGGTGGTTCTAGTGTCAGGGTTACAACTGGGTTATGGTTAGGTTTAGGGTAAGGAGCTAGGGAAAGCATTATGTCAGTTACATGTCCCCACAAGATATGAATACCCGACATGTAAATGTGTGTGTGCACGGTTTTCTGTCAGAGACAAACTTCTGAATTTCTGCTGAATTCATTACACTAGTAAATACCCATTGCTGCAGTACTGACTTGTCTGTGATTGTCAGGATATTTCTAAGCAATACGGTGATGTCATAATATCAGCACGTGAACCTGAAATGATGAATAGTTTAACAGCATGTGTCTGTGAAGGTCCTCATTGATCCAGGTCATCGTAGTCTAAGGAGCTTGGAAAGAAAAGCGTCTGGACTTCTTTAAGTTGCTTGAAGACGTTTCACCTCTCATCCGAGAAGCTTCTTCCGTTCTAGGGTCAAATGGTGGAGAGTCCCAGATTTAAGCTCTGTGGGAGTAACCCACCGAGAGGGACAATGGACCCACTATTGACCCTCTACCTAATCACACGAGCCAAGGTGTGAAAACGGAAAACTTACTGAGGTCAGATGGCCCAGGATGGCACACCCTGGGCCATCTGACTTCAGCAAATCACATGATAGGGTGGGGCCAGGTTTCACAATGAGCTCACCTGAAACCCTGGCTGATTGTGACCCACACCCGTTTTCACACCTTGGCTCATGTGATTAGGTAGAGGATCAATAGGGGGTCCATTGTCCCTCTTTGGGGGGGACACTCCCATTGGGCCTAGATCTGGGACTCTGCACCATTTGACCGTAGAAGTGAAGAAGCTTAGCCCGTTGGTAAGAACCTTTGGACGGTGTCATGTCACGGGTTGCTGATGATGATAAAACACTGAGCTTTCCAAAGACCAGTGAAGACCTCAGAGCTCGAGGTAACTGAAGGAAACCGTGACGACTGCTGTGAGGAATGACCTCGGCAGTCATCGCCTTTTTACCTCCTAACTAGCCTCTAACTGAACAGTTCTCTAAGCCTGTGAAAGAACGCATGTGCAACCTCCTAAACAGAAATAAGTCCGTTTGAGCTGGAACTCGTATTTCTCATCAAAATGACAACATTACAAAAGAGGCAATTATTGATTCACATGCCAAACATTCAGCATGAGATATTAAACCCTCAGCTGCATCATTCCCATCATCCACTCATTGAGATTCTTGACTTTTGACCTAAAGACATTTTCCCAGCATGATCTAAGCACTGACAGGAAACTTCAGTCAGTGCTCTGAGTGATTAACAGGCTGCACAGCAGCAAAGCATTCATGTGTACAGCTGCCGGGCACTCCAGCAAGAGATTTGACATTTTGGCAGAAAGAGCTGTGATGTGATGCTTCATGAAGCTGTTGCAGTGAGATTATTTATGACTGATGGCATTCATAAGCTGTATGGATAAACATGGTTAACTCAGATTGTTTTATGGTGATATTTTCAGAACTGGCTCCCTGTCATCAGTATTACTGACATGTAGATATCATGTACTGTCTCTATATCTGTATATATGAGCTTTAGTTCCAGTCCTCTCAGTGGGTGCGCACAGACTTTAGCCCTGTAATGGTTCCCAGTTACACACAGTAACAGGCCCTCCCATTACAGCACTCGGCCACAGGGATGACGTACTGTCCTCTCCGGAGTGCCCGGTCCCCGGCTCTGGTTCCGGTCCTCCTCCGAGGGCATTGACAGATCGGACTTTGATCTCAAACGGCGTGTACGTTCCTGTGTTGTTCACTATGAACGGTGGAGACCTCACACGGCCGGAGTTCCAGTTTACATTTGACCTGTCGGCCTCCCTCCACAGCACCTCGTACTCGAAGTTCTGGCCTTTATGAAAACGCTTGTCTATCTCCTGCAACAGAAAGTAAGAGTATGAAGTGCCTGTGGACTTTTCATGAAACATATCAGAGGATGTTTACTCGAGCCCACTGCATACACACTGACGTACTCACATCCCACGTGATGATCATTGTCCCTGGTTCCGAGGAGTTACTGCGCACTCCTGTAGGGTTGATGGAGGGAACTAAAAGGGTGAAGGAAAATATCTCAGTTTAATAAACACACTTCAGTCATCCTGTATTGATCTTCTTTATTGATCTCCGTGACCACTGATCAACCATGTTTTATATTTCTTTGTGAAACTCTCAGACTGATAATGTAATTAATGGTAAATACATTTTCCGTCCCTCTAATGTCAGCCTGAGGCTGTGAGTCAGACTCCATGTTAAAACTTCACAGCAGAAACAAACTTGTATCCATGACAACTGTAAGGGTGGACGTTTACATCATCATCATTAGGGGTGTGGCCTCTTTGACTGACAGGTTATTGGAGTCCCTTATCTGGATCTCTGGACCATGTTTGTGCTTTTTCAGTGTTTTGGAGCATTTTTTATGTAATTGTGACCAATAATGTGGCTGCTGTGATTTTATTTTACTAACAGACCATCCAAGAAGTCTGAGCTTCAGTTTTGGTGAGTTAAACTGTACGATCTTCTTTGGGTGAAATACACGTAACCAACAGGTATTAGTGAGGTGCCTCAAGCTAGGTAGTGTTAGCTGATAGCATAGCAGTAAATATGGTGAATTCTTCCTGCAGAAGAGCAACACGGTGATGACCATAAACTGCTGTTCCAAAAACCGGTGGGTAATGCCACGCCTCATATTCAGCTCCTGGACACAGTCTATAAAAATCACTGCTAGTAGCAGTTGTAACTCTAAAGCTCATCACATCTGCTGCTAGCTTATATTGTTGTTTCATTCACTGAAGTGTTTTCCAGCCTCTGACACATGGATCCCATTACTTAAGGCTAGAGATCGATCGATACCAATGCTGATACTGGTATTGGATCGATACTATCATGATAGGATCGATTTTTATTTCTATCTTTTAGTTTCAGCACGTAGCCCAGTGAATTGTGTTAAATAAAGTATATACCTCAAACATGCACCTGTGATGTTCACGGTCACGTCTATTTTATTTATGTTCTATAGCAAACATAAATAAAAAAACCTCCCAATTTAAAATACACGAAAAGCTGAAGAGTGTGTTTTGTTGTGTCAACTAATTATTGTGGAAATTAAAAATCACAGTTGAAATCAGAATCTCATAAATCATGCTGCTCTTCCCTACATAAGCTGCCTTCAAGCTTTGGTATCAGTACTGGTATTGGCAGTACTGGCCCTGTATTTACTTGGTATTGGATCTATACCAACATTTGCACAGCACAAGTCGAGGTATTGTTCTTTACCAGCAGGTGGTGTGCTGTGGTGGTCTGAGGGGTTGCTGTGTCTGCTCCTGCCAACCTCATTGATGGCGATGACCCGGAATCGGTAGGTGGAGAATGGATGGAGGGACAGCTCCACGTGGTTGAAGTCGCCTGGCACTTTCTTCAGTTCCTCCCACGTCCACTTCCTCTCCTCCGTGTGGTACTCCTCCCGAGCCTGTATGATGAACTCTGGAAGGAGTCAGACATGATCCAGTTCATCAGCTGTTTTTCAGCTGTAGGTTGGTTTTTCAAATAAATACGTTTTAAATAAAGTAGAATGAGCTAAAGATCAACATAGTTTGTTTCAGGAATGCCTAAGGTGTTCATCCATCCATCTATCTTCTTCTGCTTTATCCGGGGCCGGGTCGCGGGGGCAGCAGCCTAAGCAGAGAAGCCCAGACCTCCCTCTCCCTAGCCACCTCCTCCAGCTTATCCGGGGGAACACCAAGGCTTTCCCAGGTTAACCGAGAGATATAATCTCTCCAGCGTGTCCTGGGTCTGCCCCGGGGCCTCCTCCGGGTGGGACATGCCCGGAACACCTCACCCAGGAGGCGCCCAGGAGGCATCCTTGTCAGATGCCCGAACCACTTCAGCTGGCTCCTTTCGATGTGGAGCAGCAGCGGCTCTACTCTGAGCGCCTCTCGGATGGCTGAACTTCTCACCCTATCTCTAAGGGAGAGGCCAGCCACCCTTCATGGGAAGCTTATTTCCGCTGCTTGTATCCGCGATCTCGTTCTTTCGGTCACTACCCACAGCTCGTGGCCATAAGTGATGGGTGTATATTGACCGGTAAATAGAGAGCTTCGCTTTTACACTCAGCTCTCTCTTCATCACGACGGACCGGTTCCAGTGCGAGCTGGTGGCCATCACCCGATGAAGCCAACAGAACGACATCATCCGCGAAAAGCAGAGATGAGATTCTGAGGCCACCGAAGTGAAAGCCCTCCGCCACTTGGCTGTGCCTAGAAATCCTGTCCATAAAAATTATGAAAAGAATTGGTGACAAAGGGCAGCCCTGGTGGAGCCCATCACCCACCGGGAACGAGTCCAACTTATTGCCGGCAATGCGGACCAAGCTCTTGCAACAGTTGTAAAGGTTTGAATGGCCCGTAGCAATGGGCCAGACACTCCATACTCCCGCAGCAGCTCCCACAGGACACCCCGAGGGACACGGTCGAATGCCTTCTCCAAGTCCACAAAACACATGTAGACTGGTTGGGCAAACTCCCATGCACCCTCAAGTATCCTTGAGAGGATGAAGAGCTGGTCCAGTGTTCCGCGACCAGGACGAAAACCGCATTGTTCCTCCTGCATCTGAGGTTCGACTAGCGGACGAACTCTCCTTTCCAGCACCCTGGCGTAGACTTTCCCGGGGAGGCTGAGGAGTGTGATCCCCCTGTAGTTGGAACACACCCTCCGGTCCCCCTTCTTAAAGATGGGGACCACCACCCCGGTCTGCCAGTCCAGGGGTACTGCCCCCGATCTCCACGCAACATTGTGGAGGTGTGTCAACCAGGACAGCCCTACAACGTCCAGAGCCTTCAGGAACTCAGGGCAGACCTCATCCACACCAGGGGCTCTGCCACCAAGGAGTTGTTTAACTGCCTCCCTGACCTCACCCCTGGAAATTGGCAGGTCATCCCCCTCATCCCCAGACTCTGCTTCCTCCTCGGAAGACGTGTCAGTGGGATTTAGGAGGTCCAGGAAGTATTCCTTCCACCACCCGACAATTTTCTCAGACAAAGTCAGCAGCGCTCCATGACAGGCACCAACTACCTTGCGGCCGCAGCTCGATGCAGCAGCTTCGGCAATGGAGACGCTGAACATGGTCCATTCGGACTCAATGTCCCCAGTCTCCCTCGGAATGCTGTTGAAGCTCTGCCGGAGGTGTGCGTTGAAGATCTCGCAGACTGGGGCCTCTGCTAGTCGTTCCCAGCACACCCTCACTACGCATTTAGGTGCACCGGGTCTATCCGGCGTCCTCCCCCGCCACCTGATCCATCTCACCACCAGGTGGTGATCAGTTGACAGCTCAGCCCCTCTCTTCACCTGAGTGTCCAGAACATAAGGTCGCAGGTCTGGTGATACGATTACAAAATCGATCATCGACCTGCGGCCTAGAGCGTCCTGGTGCCACGTGCACTTATGGACACTCTTATGTTTGAACGAGGTGTTCGTTATGGCCAAACTGTGATTTGCACAGAAGTCCAATAACTAAACACTGCTCTGGTTCAGATCAGGGAGGCCTTTCCTCCCAATCACGCCCATCCAGGTCTCGCTGTCGTTACCCATGTTTTTCATAACTGATGAAGATGGAGTGTGATTGGTGGAGGTTGGTGGCCTGCTGCTTTTTCAGTCATCTCAGAAAAATCCAGAACATTTCATAAGGTTTAAGAGTCTCAGCAGGAAATGAAAATGTCCTCTTCAGCTGCTTCCACTATCAGCACATGACAACATATGTTTTGTGTGTGTGTGTGTGTGTGTGTGTGTGTGTTTGTGTGTGTGTGTGTGTGTGTGTGTGTGGTACCTGTGATGGGGCTGTTGTGGGAGAGTCCTGGGCTCCAGCTGAGAGTCACACTGACCCCCTCAGCATTAGACAGAGTCAGACCACTGGGGGGGTCCGGTTTTGCTGAGAGTACAACAGAAAACAATTAGAGCCACAGTCCACACACACACACACACACACACACACACACACACACA